CCCCAAAACCCCAAAACCCCAAAACCCCAAAACCCCAAAACCCCTTTTTTGTATTGTGTTGATGAAATTGAGTTAAACTGATAAATGAGGATGTATGGGATTTATTAGGGTGTTAGAGTTGTTCTTGATCACTATCAGATTCTTCTAAATCTCGCAATTGGAAGCTTATGCTTCCTAATTTATAAGAAGCAGGGCTTTTGGGCTTTATTTCTCTGACTGGAGATCTTTCTGATTGATTTCTTTTAGTAGATGATTTAGCAAACAGGGCTCTTCTTTGCCCCTCTTTTAACTCTGGCTGATACTTATTTAAAATCTCAAAGTTTTAAATGAGGTGACTCGTGAGTGGATTTCTTATTGAAATTTTCTGTATTTCTGTCTAACCATTCCTTCTGAGATTTGTTTCTTAGGATCCTACCTCTATTGGCTTTCTTCATACTCTATAAATATTTCTTACGTTTATTTACCTTAAATGGCTTTTGGGATATCTTCTTGCTATTTTCAGTAATCAAAAAGTTCTCTTCTTCTTGATTTAAATTATTCTGCTTGCGAGGTTTATACTTCTCACGAGTCTTCTGCAATGAATCTATTACAGATTCCCCACTGATGTAATGATGAGAGTTCACTGTGTCCTTATCAATACTGTCATCTTCATTTTCGCTAGAGCTGCTATTTTTGAGCTTTCAAAATTGATTTTAGTTTGTCTAAAATTATGAAATTGATTGTTACTATTTGATTTCCTTTTAGTAGGGAATCTCAATCTGTTTGCTTTCTTTTCTTCAGGACTTATTAATTCAACCTTTGAATCTTCATCTTGACATTCCCCTGTAAATATGAGTTTCTCTGGAATTTCATCTCAATCAATAGACTCTTGAGAAGCAGTTCGATTATTCCGATTATAGGCACAAGTGAAGCTACCGATCATACTGACCCATGATTGAGGCCTATTTTTCTCTGCTGATATGAACTTTACTAAAGATTAGCATCAAGGTTACCTTTCTGAGATTATACCTAGTGACTCTCCTTGGATTTCTAACTCAGTATAATACTTATCAACATAGATAGAAGCTTTAGAGATGAATTCCTCTCTCTGATTCCGGTCAACATAGATCAGACAAGATTTATCAACATTATACTGCGACTGAGTGAAAGATGGCTGCTTAGCTCTTGAACTTTCCTCCCCAGGCTTTAAATGTTTCGAAGGATGAGGCATCATTCTCTGCTTAATTGGAGTAATACCTTCTAAATCTCGATTTCTTTTGCTGAGAAATGCTTCTCTTCTATGTTCCTGACAAAAGCTACTGGGAGACGAAGAGGAAATCGTAGATTTCCTCTGAGATTTTGTAATGAGATTATATCTTTCTTTCATCCTCTCAGCGAATAGGCTATAATTATACTGAATTTTGGACTTCTTTCTACTAGGAGCTTTCTTAATAGAAATTCTGAACATTTTATCAACTTTCTTGAAATCTCTAAGATGCTTCTCTACTGAAAGAGCATAATTGAGGTGATAGATAAATGATTCAGTGCCAATTTTATGGACTGCCATATAATTGTAGACATCAAACATTTCTTGGACTTCTAGAGCATATTTCACCCAAAGCAAGACATATTGTGAATTTTGGTACAAACTCTCCTCTTTCCTCATCTTGTGAGTGAAATTCTTGAGAATTTGGTGCAGAGTCACCGGGGAGTTTTCTCCTTGTTTAGTTGCCCATTCAAAATAATTTTGGTAGATTTTAAGTAAAATATTAGGGTTCGAACCTTCTTCACGAGAAATAGCTGTCTCATAGAATAAAGTAATGTCTTTGGGATCCTTCATGTCAGGAGGGGGCCTTGTGTTCTTGTTTTTAATTAGATCGTCTGCAGTGATCAGAGTGATATTATCCATTAGATAAGAAAATAAATATTCAGCTATTTTTAAGAAGCTAGGGGTTTTGGGGTTTTGGGGTTTTGGGGTTTTGGGGTTTTGGGG